GGCATAAAGAAGAAAGGTAACACACTATGACCATTGTTACAGCAAATACAGGCACAAGGAATCACCTCCTCAGGTGAACTTCTCTGTTTGGGATCTGAATGTTGTTATTTAAGGAATTTTAGACAAAGAATTCAGAATGTATACTACCAACCATACAACTGCATTTGATGCTATGTGATCATTGCAACATTACTGCAATGTTACTGAACAGTCACTGTGCCTTTATTTTTAAAGACCTCATAGATGGAATAATAAAAATCTCAAAAAACAAATTCCAAAGTTTAAATAAATTTAAAAATTTCACTTTTAGTAACTGTTATGCAAGTATATTAGCAGAGGGTCAGATTCATTGAATCAAAGAATTAGGGTTCAAGGATAATGTGTATAATTGTCAGTGCACATTTTAAAATAAAATTTAAAATGGGAGTTGCATTTCTTTTTGGGAAAGAAACCTCTTGTAATTTTCCTGCCTGCTTGCTATTGTTATGTAGTGGGTAGATTTCTCTTCACATTCCTTTTGCATTATTGTAACAGACAAGTCTAAGACACTGTCTAATGTTAATTCTACACACTGCTGCCAATTATAATCAGAGCTAGTCAAAATAAACAAATTAAACAAATAAACATGTCAAAACATCTCTGATTTAGGGAAAATAAGCCAAGTCTGAACTCTCCCAGCGTTTCGGCATAAATGATGGGCTGTGGGCTGTAAAACGCTCCATAACATTTTTTCACCTTTGCTAGGGGGAAGGTGGGTCAGTTTAGAATTACAGCACAGCTCAACTTTGAGAAAGGGGTCTGTGACTGCAACCAAATCAAACCCAAATGTTGCTGGCTTCACCCTGGGTAGTAATGATCTGCCGCGTGCTCTAAATGCTTTAAAATGAAAGAAGGAAAGAAAGAAAACGCGGTTGATTCTTTGCTGACGTGATGCCAGAACCCCTAAATCACTGGAGAGGCTGAACACAACACAGGTGAAAAACACACCAAAGACGGATGTACATTTCAATATGAAACATACTGTCACTGTGACATTTCCCAATCAGCACGTTGAAAATACTAGGCAATTAAATTCGAAAGCTCTGTTGGCTTCACAAAGGAATATAAAACATGACTTTGCTACCCAAGTAGGATATCTTGGCTTGAGCTATGCTTTAGTAATGAGAGGGATATGAGGTAAAAGTTGTGTGTGTGTGTGTGTGTATGTGTGTGTACATAGTGGTATCTTAACCTATAAAAATATGGAGAGAGGTTAGTGGAGAAGGCTGTCATTCTGGCAGGTGGTTCTTGTAAAAAGGTGATCTCTTGAAGTTCAAGAAATTTAAAAATCTCCACACCCACCACTGGGCAGCAAGCCACGAAGCCAGTGATTTGTGCAGGTTCCTTGGCGTTCTTCATTCAAGCAGTCCTAATCCGGCACCAACTCAATGCCAGGCACTAGCCACAAAGATGAGCAGGGCTCGCTCAGTCCATGCCTTGAGGCACTCTCCCTTGTTACCTACTGGAAGTTTCAATGCTGAGTTTAAGTCAGGAAAGCGGCTGATAGGCAGCTGGGAAGGGCTGGGGGAGAGAAGGCTCTGACATGTCTGGCTGCTCCAATTTCACCTTTCCCTTGTCAGTGTATGGACTTGGGTAAGGGTATGCTCCAAGGAGAGGGGCTTTGCAAAGGAGCCAGAGGGGTGACATTCCCCACCGGCAGAAGACAGAGCGCTTGATTACTTCTCGCATCTCCCATGGCTTTTATTTTTAATGTGCGCTGTGTTTGGAAGGAAAGGGGGTGGGGGTGGAAATCATTGTGCCTTTGAAATGTTGTTTTCTGAGGACAGTATATAGAATCTTGGTTATTAACAACCTCTCACAAGACAGTTATTTTTGGAGTGGCCTCTTAGGAGGCAACCTCTTGGAAGTGAACTCATTTATTTTGCGTCTCACTGTCCTGCCATTTCCTGCGGAGAGAGGGGGAAAAGTGAAACCACATGTTTTGAGGAGCGAATGGAGGAAATCCCTCCGAAGACAAATGACGACTCCTCTCCCCTGGCAATTAGTCAAACCTGGGCTTCAGGCCAGCCCAGGTGTTCCCGACTGTGTATAAATTTGCCAAAGAACAATGAAAATAGCAGCTGATTGTGCTGACAGATTCTTCTGGTAATTTCCTGTTGTTTGGCATCTTCAGGTTACTTTCCCACAATTATGGCTGCTGATGAAGTCTGGGGCCCTTCGAAGTAATTTTCTAACTCTCTCCTTGCCCCTCTCTGTCATCTCACCAACGAGCCGCCTCCTACAACCAACTTAAAAGCAACGAAACAATCAAAATCCGAAACCAAGTTTAAAAAGATTTTGGAGTTGTAGATTTTTTCCCTCTTTCCCAGATGTTTGAATTTAATCCCTCAGCAAAAATACATATTTTAATGAGTCTGAATTTAAAAGAGGAAGAAAAAAATGATTTGCACCTGCATCATATAGAGTTTCTTGGCAACCGTGAGCTGGGATTCAGGTTCCTTCTGATTCTCCAACAAGTTGGAAGGTTTCCTTGTGTTGTCCATTAATATCTAATCTCAAGGAAGCTGGGTCAGGTTGGACTCACATTGAGTGCTGACCAGAAGGGCAGCTCCAAACAGGCTTGGGTGTCATCTTGATGTTGTCCCTTGCCTAAGCAAGCGACTTTGCTCAACTATTGCTCTTTCTTCCCACTACTAAAGTTTAAGAAAATGAAACTACTATTATGTGTGGGTGGAGGTTATTTTTGCACCCAAAGCATTTGGGGGCGAAATGAAAACGAGGAGAATTGCACAATTTTCTCAAATCTCCACATTATCCAAACTGTCAGGAAGCTATGCATACTTTCTTGGTTAGAGCAACTATGTACAGGATTTTTTTTTTCCTTTGGAGGGGGTGGGGAGTGGGAGCTATTGTTGAGAAGCTGCCAAGAAGCTGGTTTCTTTCTCTCCCCCTTTCCCTTCCCTGGCCCTCTCAACCCCCAGAGGAGAGTCAATGTGAATGCTGCAATGTGGGCTTGCAGAAGAGTGGCTTAGGATACACTAGACCAGAGAATAATGTATTGAATTTTTCTAAACAGGGCTCCATGTCCCCTATTAATCAGAACTTCTAGTCAGGAGAATTGCAAACGAAATAAAGAAAATTCCAGGATAATCCACGGCATTTGAGAACAGGGTAAATCTCAGAACCTATCACATCTGAAAAATGTTTTTGAGATTGGCTTTGGATAACTGTTAGTCTACTCAGTTCTGGGTAGACTTTTGGTAGAAAGATTGCATTTTTTTTTCTTATGTTCAGGTGGGAACTGTGTTTTAAAAACTCATTGAGCCTATATAATTAAAGTCTGAAAGGAACGGGCAAGCATTTTTCTAGATTCTTGGATCTCTTAAAATAAGAACAAAAACATTCAGGTGAAGGTGGATATGGGAGAATGTGGAAAATGACCCAGGTCAGGGAAATTTGCTGGTATTTGTGACATGTCAAAACCCTCTCACACTCATACACAGACTTGATTACCTTATGCTTGGGGCTATTTATAAGGAGAGTTAGTTATATTTATGGAAAACTGCCTCTAATTCATGTTACATGTTCTGTCCTTCATCAAAAGCCATCCATTTATTCATTTTTGATTCATTCATTAATGTAATCATTAATTTACTTGTCATTTGTTGCACATCTTCAATGTGCTAGGTGGAGGTCAAATTACAAGAATTGCCCCTCAACTAGTGACCATAATTTAATCTCTTCTCTACCTTTTAAAAATCCTACTCACCCTTAAAGATTCAAATCAGATAGCTCCTCCTCCACACAATCTTTCTTTCTTTGAATTCTGGCCCTTATTAATCTTCATTTTTCCTTATCTACAGCACACATTTCTTCATTCAAATATACTGAAGGAACATTTAAAATGTGCATTGTGCTAGTCTATTAATTAAGACTATCACAGTTCCTGACCTCATGGATCTTAAAGTAGAACCATGGCAACAGCAGATAAAGAAATAACTACAAAACAGTATACTGAATGCTCTGATGTGGAAGGATGGGGGCTGTGGGAACAGGGAGAGAGGCTTTAGCCAAGGCTTACAGGATGAGTTGTAGTTGGCAGGATGGGCTGGGTGTAGAACTGTCTCAGGCAGAGTGGAGGCATGAGAGACAGGTAACAGGTAACATGGGAAAGGAACATGCTTCTGTGCTGCAGGACAGTGGAGTGATGCCTCACCCTCTAGTGCTTCCAGCACAGTACAAACTTCCAAGCACACAGGGAGGACCAGGGAGGAAGGAGAATGGAAAGAAAGTAGGAAATAGGAGAAATAGGGAAATAGGAGCCCAGTCCCAAACAGCCTTTATGGAGAGGGATTCAGTCTTTGTTTGGAGGTGGATCTGAGGAAATGTTTTAAGCAAGGAGTGGCATAATTAGGTTTGCATTTTTGGAAAGTGGGCTGTGCTTGAGGTGTGGAGAGTGGATTGGAGTGAGCCAGTGAGAGCTAAAGTTATCTTATGTGGAAATCATGGAAATCGTCAACATTTGTGTTCCATTGTTTAATATCTGCAGGAATAGGTCCCATGGATACCAATGTCTTCTGATGTTCAAGTTCTGTTTGTAAAATGGCCTCGTATTTGCATATGATCTTTATATATCCTCCTATATATGTTAAATCATTTCTAGACTACCTATAATACCCCACACAATGTAAAAGTTACACTGCATTGTTTAGGAAATAATGACAAAAAAAAATCTGTGCCCATTAAGTACAGTTGTAACTTTTTTTCTGAATATTTTCATTTTTTATCTGCATGTGGTTGTATCTGCAGATGTGGAACTGTAGATACAGAAAGCTGACTGTATACTGTCTCCTCACTTTCTTTATTGTGTGGCTATTAGCCTTTTCTCTTTAGAAAGATTACAAGCATCTTGAGGCCAAGAACCATATTTTATACTCATGTGCACAAATCACGCTGGATGCTCAGGAAATACCTGTGGTTATGTGATTTGATTTGTATGCCTCTTGCTTTGCAGAGGGCCATTCTAACACCGGACAGCAGAGCAACTGCCCTTCAGTGGGGGATAAACAGGGGCACCTTCTCTGGTGAGTCTCATAAAAATAGTATCTGAAGTTCAGTTCACCAAGACAAACATCCATATGACATCTTTCTTCATTCTCAAGAGAGAAGGGTCATGATTTTATGTGCTGTACACAGTTACCGACATTAAAAGTTGAAGCATGTTTGCTAAAGAGCCGGGTGAATTCCAGTGGAAGGAAAGAGGGCCTTGTAGATTTGGTCAGGAAGAGAGTTTTGGTGGTGTTTGCAAGGCCACATAGGTACAGCCTGGTGGTTAATTCCCCTGGACGTCCCTGGAAAAGTGGCTCCCCTCCACCACCCACCAGGCACATTCCTCAATGTCCACCAGGGACTCTGACCCCGTTAGCACTTAGTATTTATGACCAACATTTGCCAGTGATTATATTAACAGTCAAATGATTATAGTTCTAAATGCAATTGTGTGTGTGTGTGTGTGTGTGTGTGTGTGTGTTTAGGGTCAGGGAGAGATTTGCTTAGGGAATGGAGAATATTCTTGAAGCAAATACCTTGTCTCTTTTAAATTATCCCCATCATACCAAATTGGAAATTTTGCTCACATACTTATTAAAGGACATGGAGCCAAAGAACATAGTAATTGGAAGGGATGTTTTACAGGTGTGGAAATTGAAGCCAGAAAGAGTAAGTATTCGTCATGGCCCACACAGTTAGAGACAGCAGAGTCAGAACTAAAACTAGGTCTCCTGACTCCCAGTTCAGTGCTCTCTCCATGGTGCCCCAGGGCTTTCTCTCTATGTGTTTATTGCTGTCACACAGTGCTTGTCTGAAACCAAGCCTCAGGGTTTTTATTTTTATCCAGCCTTTTCATCAGTCCCCCACTTCTTTGCCATCTTCCTGGGCACCTGAGGCTGCTGGTCTCCCTGGAGGGTTGCAGGTAGCACTCACTTCTGTGGTTTTCCCTCCTCCAGTCACTTGACTGGGAGCTCCGACCCTTGGAGCACAGAGCCCAAGCCTGTAATCCTCTAAGCTTTGTCTCTACCTTTCCTGACCCCCTTTCTCTCTGTTGTTCTCTCTCTGTGTGCTGTTTACTTCTAGAGTCACCTGTATTAACTTCTGTCTTCTCAAGCAGTTAGCTGTAATCCTCAGTCTTCATCCACTAATTTATCACTTTCACAATTTCTCCCATAGCTGTATGCAGATATTAAATATTTTTCTTTAGATTAATTAATTTTTAACATAATTACATTTATTTAAAAACTTTGCAGAAGTAACACAAATGGAAAATCAATACCATTGGCTGATATAGAAGGCAACAATAAATTGAATGAAAAAGGGGACAAATCTTGTGGTGCAGTGGCCACTTAGGGTGCCCACATCTCATATCAGAGTGCTGGCTGTAATCCCAGCTCCTTTGCTTCTGATCCAGCTCTCACCCGGAAAGGCAGAGCATATGATGGCCCAAGTACTTAGGTCCCTGTTATGTACCCATTTGGAGATCTGAATTGAGTTCTGGGTTCCTGGCTTTGGATTGGCCTAGCCTCAGCTGTTGTGGGATGAACCAATGGGTGGGAGAACTCTCTGTTGCTCTCTCTCTCTCTCTCTCTCTCTCTCTGTATGTGTGTGTGTTTCTCACTTTTTCTGTCACTCTGCCATTCAAATAAATAAATAAATAAAATTTGAAAAAAAGAATGCAAAGGAACAATGTTATTAAATTCTATCTAGATTCCCCACCATGCTGAAGGTTCTCAAGGTGAGCTCTGCTTTCTTGTTAAATAGGTGATAAGCAAATGATGGTGAGGTTGCACAAGTTGATTCTCCCTTGTTTAGTGGGAATTATTAAAAGCTAGCTGCCAAATGATAATTTCCTACCATTCAATCCATGGTCTTAAGGTGCTCAAGTACCACCTGCAATCTTCTCACTAGTGGCCCTACTTTTAGGCTCATCCTGAGCCACAGAGTGGAATTGATAACTGGAGGGATAGTGAGCACTGTATTATTTCCACATGGCCTGGCCAGTGGTACAGGAGGATATTAGTCAACCACGTGATGGTCCCTGTGGTCCCATGGGGTGGAGGATGCCCACCTCCACCCCAGGCTCTTTCTGGCAAAGCACTCCAACCACGGCAAGGTGTATGGTCACCCCTGATTTTAAAGCTCTTGACTGTACTGCTTCTGAGTAAGACAACCTATTAGGCAAATTTGATGAGAATAAAGATAGACCCATAATAAAATGTTCTTGATCAGCACAGAGATTTTTTTTTTAAAGATTTGTTTTATTTATTTGAAGTCAGAGTGACAGAGAGAGGGGGAGACAAAGAGAGAAAGAGATCTTCCATCTGCTAGTTCACTCTCCAAATGGCCACAATGGCTAGGTCTAGGTGAAGCCAGGAGCTTGGAACTCCATCTGGGTCTCCTATGTGGATGGCAGGGGCCCAAGTATTTGGCCCATCACCCACTGTACCTTTGCAGGGGCATCAACAGGAGGCTGGATCAGAAGCAGAGCAGCCAGGACTTGAACTGCTGCTCCAATATAGGATGCCAGTGTTGTAAGCAGCAGCTTAATCTGTTGTGACACAACACCGGCCCCAGCACAGAGATTACTTTTGAACACAAGATAAAATGTTCAAGGCTATAAATGTTTCTGCATCACACCCAAACTCATTTTCCAACATAGAAAATATGAAGTACATAAGTGGTTCACTTTCCCTTTCCTATAGTACATATTTCCTATTGTACATGTATTCATTGAGCATTGAGATATAAAAGCTATATATGACCTTACGGTTTACTTCCAGGGGTCTAAAATGTTCCTCTTCAGTAAGTGTGGGCCAGTCTACCCTAGAAAAGCCTTGGGAAATGGTTCAGGGTTGGGATGGCATAGGCAAATGGCTCTATTTAATTCTTTTTTTTTTTTTTTTTTTTGACAGGCAGAGTGGACAGTGAGAGAGAGAGACAGAGAGAAAGGTCTTCCTTTGCCGTTGGTTCACCCTCCAATGGCCGCCGCGGCTGGTGTGCTGCGGCTGGCGCACCGCGCTGATCTGATGGCAGGAGCCAGGAGCCAGGTGCTTTTCCTGGTCTCCCATGGGGTGCAGGGCCCAAGCACCTGGGCCATCCTCCACTGCACTCCCTGGCCACAGCAGAGGGCTGGCCTGGAAGAGGGGCAACCGGGACAGAATCCGGCACCCTGACCGGGACTAGAACCCGGTGTGCCGGCGCCACTAGGCGGAGGATTAGCCTAGTGAGCTGCGGCGCCGGCCACTATTTAATTCTTAAAGCTCCTTCGCCTTGTAGTGTCTGTGAATGCCTCTGCCAAGGTTGTGCAAGGTGTGGGTAGTATCATTGTAGACAGTGGTCTTAGAAGGGAAAGGGTGCATGTGGATAAATTCCAGTTGAAACTGTGAATGCTGTTATTGAACTCACTGTTCTAACCACCTTTTCAGCATGTTCTAACTCTCAATGCTATTTTAGGAAGTATAGGAAAGCAAATTTAGTGGAAGATGTGTCCTTGGCCCTTGAGAAGCTTGTACTCTGGCAATATGCACCATAAATGATGAAGAGTTAAGATCATGAATTCAATGCTAAAGGAGTTCAACTCAAGGCAAAGATGACCAAGGACTGGGATTAGGGAGAAAATGCTCCCACTGTCTGCATTTCTAGCGTGTTTGCTTTCCCTCTCAGTTTGTAAAACTGTATTCCATTCATGGCTTTGGCAAATATAAGAAGGACTCATCTTTAGAAGAAAAGCCAGAAGGATATTAGTATGTCCATCTTGCTGGGCTGCTTCCTGCAGATAAGCTGTCACTTGCTACTTGCCCTGCTAAACCTGGGCTGGACTGGTTTCTGTGATTCTCTCCTTATGCAGTCTGGTGAGCTCATGTTAATAAGACCAACTTAATATGACAACTCTACAGTGGAGCTTTCTGGGCTCTCTTGACTTTGCATACTATGTGCCCTGCACTGACAAGACTCTTCTGATGACTTCAGGTTAAGCAAACTGAGTTGTCCTCTCTAAGAGGGCTTATGTGAGTAGTTTGAGAACTGACCATGAAATATAATAGTTTCCTTTTTCTTTATTTGTCAGAAAGACCCTGTGCTAGACAATTTTATAATTCTTGTTGCATTTAATCCTAAAATAATCTTGAGGGAGTTGTTATTACAAACTTATTTTAAAAAAATAAGAATGATGAAGAGAGGTTAAGTAACTTGCCTAAGGTCACCAAAATAGCATATGTTAGGAAACAAGACTTCAGTGTAGATTTTCCATCTCCATTTTGCATGCTATATTATTGATGACAGGTTGGTATCATCCTGTCTGCCTTCCTCCTGCCCTTATTTTCCTTGTATTCCTGGTTCTTCCCTTCCCTTCCCTTCCCTTCCCTTCCCTTCCCTTCCCTTCCCTTCCCTTCCCTTCCCTTCCCTTCCCTTCCCTTCCCCTCCCTTCTCTTCCCTTCCTTCCCCTCTCTTCCCCTCCCCTCCCCTCCCCTCCCCTCCCTCCTTCCTTCTTTCTTTCCTTCCTTCCATCTTCCCTCCCTACTTCACTCCCTCTCTCCATCCATTCTTTTTTTTTTGTTATTTTATTTTATCGCTTTTTTGGTAAAATACTATTTCTCAGCAGTTAATTACAGGTACATTAACTACATAAAATAACAAGGACTTTTGATGAAGTTAGGCAAATTTGTTTTTTGGTTATTTAACTTAATGTAGAAAACAGAAAGGAACCTGAGACCCTATACTATGCCATCATGTGGTAGGTGCGCTCCATCTGCTTCCCAGCTCTGATTCCACAGAGCCATCCTCTGTGCTAGACGTTGTCATTCCCAGGTAATAGATAGGGAAGTAAGCCTGAGAGGTTCCATGACTTGCCCTTTAGTCTTACAGTGAGTCTACAGTGAGTAGTGGAGTCGGAGTTTGAAGATAGGTCTGCCTGATTCTAAATCTTGTCTTCTTTTGCTGTATTTCTTTTTTTATATAGACAGCCAGAGAGAGCTTACATCTGCTGGTCTACCCCACAAATGCCTGCAATAGCTGGGACTGGGCTAGGCTGAAGCCAGGAGCCAGGAGCCAGGAGTCAGGAATTCAGCCCAGTTCTCCCTTGGGGGTGGCAGGGACCCAACTACTTGAGCCATCACCACTGTCTCCTAGGGCATACATTAGCAGGAAGCCAAATTCAGGAGCAGAAACCAGAGATTGAAACTGGGCATTCTGATATGCGGTGCCAGTGTCTTAAATGATATGCTAAATGTCTGTGGTTGCATTTTTTTTCTGAATTAGATATTAACATTGGCCAGACTGTATGTTATAGAAGGCAGGAATTTAAGAAGACGCAGAGGACAATTTGCCATCTTGATCACTAGGTACACTGTCAGCCCTGGGATCTAGTAATATCAGGAGCTGATCCAGACAATGGACACAGTGTCAAGATCAGTCAGAATATCTCACGTCAGAGGCCTAAGTGAGCTGTGCGCCTGATTCACGAGAGGCAGTGCATTCAGTCCGCCTCCCTGGCTCATTCACGCTGTGCTGTCCCTTCCCCACTAACCTTTCGTCTCCCCTTATGAGGAGAAGATACTGTTTACTTTCCATCCTAAGTGACTGGTGCTGTGAGCTGTTAAGAAGCCAACATATTCCAGGCTCCCATGTTAATGGTGTGGGATTAAAACTAAACAAAGCAAGCAAGCATTTGACAATAAATGCGTCTATTGGAAGTGAGTAATGAATGCAGAAAGAAGCGTGCGTTTCTTGCTTGTTTATTGACTCCAGTACTTGGGCAAATCTTGAAACGTTATTTTGCCTCTGTTGCGCCTGCTATAAAGTGGGAGATACCAGTAGCACATGTCTCTTAACACTCAGAGGTGGTGAGAGGTTAATGACTTAATGCCTCAGAAATTCTTCAGGCTCTATGTCCAGGACCAGAAATTGGAAGGGTTTTCATCCCAGACTTTATCAGAATCCTCTCCTGCTTTCTGAAGCTCAAATTTTAGAGGGACTTGGAAGGAAAATGGAAAAATAAGAGAAAAAGGATTGGGAAGTGGGGGTGGTAAGAGGAAATGACATTCAAGAATGTTTTGCATCCCCTCAGATAACAGCAAGGATACAGAAGAAGATACTCATGGGTTCAGGGTTCATGTCCTTGTCCAGGCATCAGAAAGAAAGGAAGAAAGGAAGAAAGAAGGAAGGAAGGAAGGAAGAGAGGAAGGAAGGAAGGAAGGAAGGAAGGAAGGAAGGAAGGAAGGAAGGAAGAAAAGAAGATGATATTCTTATTTGGCAGACTTCTGAGCTTGCATCATTGCTCTTTGGTGACAGGTATGTAAATTGTGAATGTTTTTCAGATGTGAGCCTTTCCATGATTGGGGTGAACAATGGACTTACTTCTGTAGAGCTTTGTGTATTGAGACTAAATCTTGGAGCTCTGTTGTTCCTCCTTCCCTTCTCGCCTTCCTTTTTATTTATTTTCAGAGAAGAGAAGGGGAGAGGAGAAGAAAGGAGAGGAGAGGAGTGGAGAGGAGAAGAAAGGAGAGGATAGAGGAGGGGAAGGGAGGAATGGGGAGGGGAGGATAGGAGAGAAGATCTTCTGTTTCCTGTACTCCCCAAATGCCTACAGCAGCCAGGGCTGCGCCAACCTGAAGCCAGGATCCTCGAATTCAATCTCATTCTCCTGTTCTCCCGCATGGGTGGCAGGGACCCCAACCACTTGAGCCATCACTGGCTTCCTTCAAGTGTATGTGTTAACAAAAAGGTGAAACAGATGCAGAGCTGGGATTTGAACCAGACACTATGATATGGGATACAGGTGTCTCAAGTGGCATCTTAACTGCTGCACCCAACCCTCGCACCTCCTTGTGTTTCTTTCCCTTCCTTTTCATTCCACTTTCCTCTTGCTTCTCTCCTGTCATTTCCTGCCAGTCTTTAGATTAGGGCCACAACTAGAAATGGAACATCATCAGTCCCATGTTTAGGTTCCTCAGTACTTCAGAGAGAGCTTGAGCTTCTTCTATGGGATACTGTTCTTGTTTGAGACAAAATCAGAACTGCCAGAGACTTCCAAAGTCAAGGCTGAGCTCTTGATGTTCCCTGCATTTGTCCCCAGTTTCCCTCCTAACCTGGCCACTGTATGGTGAGACAGAAATCAGAGCAGGATATATTACCTTATCTCATTGGTGGCATATTTTTGACTCTCAGTTTATCAGTTCTTTAGACATAGTCAATGGTGTTTTTATCACAAAACCCTAGGAATCATTTTCTTCCATTTTAATTTCTAGCGCAAAGGACTCTGGGCAAGCCTTGCTTTATCATAGAATACCAAACGACACACCAAGGCCCCTAGATAACTTTCCTCATCTTGATTTTGCTGAGATGCGAAGTGTCTTCTGTATGTTGATGTACTGAGAAAATAATTTATGTCTCCCTTATTTTTTTTTAATTTTTTGACAGGCAGAGTGGACAGTGAGAGAGACAGAGACAGAGAGAAAGGTCTTCCTTTTGCCGTTGGTTCACCCTCCAATGGCTGCCACGGCCAGCGCGCTGCGGCCGGCACATCGCGCTGATCTGAAGCCAGGAGCCAGGTGCTTCTCTTGGTCTCCCATGGGGTGCAGGGCCCAAGGACTTGGGCCATCCTCCACTGCACTCCCTGGCCACAGCAGAGGGCTGGCCTGGAAGAGGGGCAACCGGGACAGAATCCGGTGCCCTGACCGGGACTAGAACCCGGGGTACTGGCGCCGCAGGCGGAGGATTAGCCTAGTGAGCCGCGGTGCCAGCCAATGTCTCCCTTATCATTTATCAAATGAAAGTTAACGTTCTCCCTTATGATTTATCAAATGAAAGTTAATGTTCTCAGGTGCTGGATTTTCACCAATGACTGGAAATATTCCATTTATGTTCCTCTGTGATGGTGCCACATGTGGAGTGTGGCGAGTGTGGGGTGTTCCATGTGGCTGACCCACTATGGTGTTCCCAGGTCCCATCATGAATGGGAAATAGGGTTCTTTCTGAGAGCTATGGAGAGAAAGCATTTCTTTCTGGCAGAAGGCTAGGTTCATTAAACTGTTAGTTACATAGAGACCTTGCGACCCTACTGTGTAATGTCAGAGACGGCCACTCCCAGAATCCAGGTTGGAAAGTCTCCCTGTCAGCCAAAGCTGCGTGCATCTGTATGCTGAGGTTAGCAGAGAAACAGTGCGGTTGACCTCTGTTGTTTGTTTTGTGGCTAACAAAGAACCAGAGGAAACTTTGCTGAACTGTGTCTTCAGGGCACGATGGAGAAACCACTGCTGGTTTCTCTTAGCAAAAACACATAGCCTGAGGTCAGAGAAAAGTTCCCTTATGTTCATCAAAAAATGAATGAAAACTTTTAAAAAAAGATTTATTTATTTATTTGAAAGTCAAAGTTACACAGAGAGAGGAGAGGCAGAGAGAGAGGTCTTCCATCCGCTGGTTCACTCCCCAAATGGCCACAATGGCCGGAGCTGTGCCGATGCGAAGTCAGGAGCCAGGAGCTTCATCCTGGTCTCCCACATGGGTGCAGGGGCCCAAGGACTTGGGCCATCTTCCACTGCTTTCCCAGGCCATAGCAGAGAGCTGGATTGGAAGTGGAGCAGCTGGGTCTCGAACTGGTGCCCATATGGGATGCCGGTGCTTCAGGCCAGGTGTTAACCTGCTGCGCTACAGTGCTGGCCCCAGATAAAAGCTTTTATAATGTCTACACAGGCCAGGTAAAGACTCTGCTTCCTCACACACAGGAGATGGTAGCTGCACGGCAGGAATGGTACAGCCTGCGGGGCCAGGAGCTAGGGCAGGATGTTCCCCACCGCCAAGCTGGGGAAAGTGACTGCAGCAGTTTGGGATACTTTTCAAATATTGGCCTATTTTATTTGAAAGAGAGACAGACAGACAGACAAGCAGACACAAACAGATCTTCTACCTGCTGCTTTGCCCCCAAATGCCTGCAACAGCTGGGGCTGAGTCAGGTTGAAATTAGAAGCTAGGAATTGAATCCTGGTGTCTCATGTGGGTGGCAGGGACCGAACTGCTTGGGCCATCACTGGCTACTTCCCAGGGTCCACATTAGCAGGAAGCTGGAATTGGGAGAGGAGCAGGGACTCAAACCCAGGCACTTGGATATGGGATGTAGTTAACTTCTGTGCCAAATGCCGAATTTTATCTAGAAGATGAAATTTTAAGAGTTAGGAAGAAGGATTTTGATGAAATGTGTAAAAGATAAGTTTAGATACATCACCAGGAATGGTTAAAGAGTACTGAAAAAGTAGCCACATTTTACCTGTTTGTTTACTATTTTATAAGTCACTTCACACGAAAGCCTTCTTTAAAACATCTATTCTTCAGTGTGGCTATGTTGAGCAGCTTTAATAGCAGATGAAAACAGAGTTCCTGGGCTGAAGAGTGTGTTGGTATTTTCATGTCAGGGACACACACCTACTGCTAGCCAGCTGTCCAGATGATGGGGCAGCAGTGAGAACCCGTCGCATGGGTACACACACCTTTGTGCAGGTTGTATACCTAGAAGGAAATGAATAGCTTCTTTAATTCCAAAGCCACATTAATGATTAGAGAACAGTGGTGGAGACCCAGAGCTTAGGCTTTTTGTCCTGCCGAAGATTCTTAATTAGAGAAATCAGAGAGTAATCCAGCACATGGGTCCTTCTCTAGGCTGCAGTTAGACTTTCTGCATCTCACTGTGCATATGAGAGTGTCTTGGTCTGCCCTGGCCTAGGTACATTGTGTGGTGTGAGTAAAGTGGCCAGCTCCTTGGGAATGCTTCTTAAGTTGGTGAGTGGTATGAGCATGGGGTACCCCTACCCAGAGAAGAAAGGATGAGATAATTAGAAATGGGGCATTTTCCTTCATGTTTTCTGGAAGCTTTGCTGGTTCTACCTTGGGACATGGGTTACTGCGCTATTCCAGGCAGCTCGACAGTACAACCCAAATGGGCCTTTGAAGCACTCACTGCTCATAAAGGCAGTAGATAACTGCATCTCAGGAACTAACTCAAGGCAGTAGATTTCATTTAGGAAAAAGAAATTGAGAGAACATCTAACTGACCATGAAGGGTTGATATGGAAATCCTAGTATAATGTATTATTATTATTATTATTATTTGTTGATTCCTACTTGGATAGACTCCAATGACATGCAGCAAGAGTACTTTATATTCACTAGAGAATACTTTATATTCCTTAGAGAACTTAGGAGTCCAAAAGGCAAATGGTTCCTATGAACAGACCATGTCTTTTGGGCAGCCCACTGGACTGAAGCTATTTGTGCTAGAAGAGAGAGAGGCAGAGTGTGCTGCTTTGCTTTTTGAAAGTACAATAAAGAAAATTACTTGGCTGCATTGTACAAGCATGGACGTCTGTGTGTTCTTAGAAGTTCTTGTTTCTGGGTGTATCTGTATGTATTTGTGGTTTGATGCATGCCTCTGTAACTTAGGAAAATAGTGAATGCAACTTGAGATGGGAAGTCCCCATATCTCGGGGTCTGTTTTGAGCTCTTACTGACTTTATAAAATGACCCTGTGCTGGACATTGACACATGCTGGTTGCCGGCTGCTCCGGTATGTTATGAGTAAAGGCTAATAAAGTATAATCACAATGTCCTAAAAATGTCAAATCCTTGCCCCTTGGGCCCCCCATAACTATTCTCATCTGCAAAATGGAGCTGGTAACTCTGCACCCTGCCTTCCCTGCACAGATGTTAGAAAGCTGGGCTAAAGAACATCTGTGATGCAGTTTGAGATTTTGGAACATGGGAACCATAAATGACCATAACAGCTATTTATCATACAACAGGAGATGACGATATATTCTATATTTCAAGCCCCACTTCTCTCATCTACTTGAAAATAGTTTTGCTTGCGATTGAGGCCATCAGTTAAGGAGGTATAAGAGTATGAAATGGAGAGTAAGGGAGGGGGTTTTGACCCAAAACTATATCACCCTGGGTGAAAATTATGAATTTTCTGTGGATAGGTATGGAAGTGCATATCCATGAGCTGGAAGTGTCAGTGTAGCTTATGAGGAAAAAGAGAATGCGCCTGCATCTGATGCAGGAAGGAGCAAGGAATGGCAGGTGCCAAGAGTCAAGGGCCTTGTATTGGCAATGAGCCAAGTCAGCCTAACTGGGTAACTGCCTTTGCACTCTTAGTAGGTCATGGATGACTTAGCAGGGAAGGTTTAAAAGATGAAAATATGTCCTGAGTAAATATCACAGAATTCAACAAAGGTTAAATCCTGGAGGATCATGGAAAATATCTGTGTAGACCAACTGGCTAATATTTTGATTAAACACTT